CGTGAATCCAATCTTCTGTTGAGCGAGTATCATAGCGGTTATTCCTGTGTTTGTATATCACGCAGTGGCCAGTATGTCTGCTTCAGAATACCTTCGAGTTGAGAAGATGTCAGTGCTTCTTCATTTACAATTTTATTTAGCTTCGAAGTTCGGCGCGCAGGTAATGAAAGCGTGTTAGGAGGCACGCGAGGTGCATTAGCCAATATTCCAGTTCCCATAGTTCTAGCGTCGTACCCTGAGTTCACTATTCGCGTTTATGATCTGGTTGGATTATGGTGGAATTTGTTAATTTTTAATAAATTTCAATTTCGTTCGAAGGTGCCGGGTGGTTAATTGTTTCGCCAAACGCGTGATTGGAGCATCACACCGGTAGTGATGGTGACTGCCCGCTTTCAATGATGAGTACGGAACAAATGCGCGCTTGAAGGCGTTGTTCTGTTCTTGGTTTCGTGAGGAAGTTTGGGTGAGTAATTGAGACGGTGACGTAAATGTGCACGACGTGAGCGAGGATCTTAGTTGAATCAGGAAAATTTTCAAACATGATCGTTAAGTTAAATTCTCTAACCGAGACAGGAAAGAATGATGGAGTTGTCCCTGCATGCAATTTTCGGATGTGCAGCGGATGATCGTTGCGAAATCTTTCTGTTTGTTCAGATGTTTAGTCGAACCATTGCTGCATTCAGGTCTGTGTGACGGTGTTGACTTCGCGGTATTATTCCTGTGAGTGCCTCTTCAGAATTGTGTAGTGCTGTCTGGTACTCCCGTTGCCGTTCGGGTGAACTTATGTTGATTTTGGGCTCAGTGGAACAATACCATTTGAGACCCTTCTGTGGTTCTTTCGGAACGTGGACACACTGCCTAAGTGAGTGTGGTGTTGACTTTCCAAGTGTGACCCTCCCCACGTCATGCCAGAGGGAGAAGATGCTTTATGCCCGCAGCGAGTGAAACTCGCTTCGGCAGATTTTGACCGCTTAGAGAAGGATGACATCATTTTGAAGTGGCGTTTGCAAGAGGATTACATCGACTTCTTGGAGGACAGAGTGAATGCCACTACATCTACGAGTGAGATTTCAATAATTCACTTGTGCTTTCTTATTAATGTACATTTATGTTCTGTTTTGCACACAGGCTCGAATGACGAGCAAGTGGATAAGCTAAAAGCCCAGGTGAATGAGCTTGCGAAACGTGAAAATGTGCTAGCCATGCGGCTTGTTACCAAGGATCAGGAGCAGCAGGATCTTTTGGTTAGCATTGAAGAGAAATATATTTTATTTGAAAAATTTCATTTTCCAGTGATTTTTTTGTGTGCAAAAGAATCAAATTTCGGACCTTAAGAGTGCCGCAGCGCCCGGGGCTTCTGCCCTTCACTCTCATCTTGTCGATCCTGCTGTGAATTATGTGTTTTGGAGTATCAAAAAAGAGCAACAGGCGATGAAGCAGAAACTGGAGGATACGCAGAACGAATTAAAAGCCTGGAAATTCACGCCAGATAGGTGAATTCCAAACTGCGGAAGCAAGAATGTTCAGGTGATTTCAAGTGTCTGTCTTATATCTGCAGTCAACGAGGGAAAATGTTGATGGCCAAGTGCCGTCAACTTCATCAAGAGAACGAAGAGCTTGGTAAAGAAATATCCTCTGGCCGTCTAGCAAAAATTGAGGGTGAATTGGCGATTCAAAAGAACTTCTGTAAAGAGCTCAAGAAGACACAGACTGGTGAGTACTGACGGAAACCATTACTTGCGATTTTCCTTTGTCTTTCCGGCGTTTCTTCGTTACGCATGTGATATTATCCTGATATCGAAATCTTGCAACAGTTCGTCTAAGAGTAATTCCACTCAAAACTTTGTAAGATCCAGGGTTGTACCCTGATCAAACTCTCGAACAAAAATCAGCAACCTTTTTTCAAGGCCTGTGGTTTGATGACTGATGGTTCGTATTGTAGAATTAGCGGAGCTGTTGGGAGATCAAGACGAGGATATCGAAGGGATGCAAAGCGTTATTTACCTGCTGCAACGACAAGTGAAACAGCTCAAAGAGGAGAACTCTCAGTTGAAAGCCGCGCAAGTGGAGCCAGGTGCCATCGACAATGACGTGGACATGGACATCGGCTTCAATGAAGTGGTCGCTGTACCCAGCGATCGCAAAGTGGTGCTGCCAAGTGTCCTCGACCACAATGACGTCGATGAAGAGGACGAGGACTTGCCAACTGACAAGAGCGAAGAAGCCGAGGCCCGCGTCATCAATGGGATCAGTGGTGCAGACGTAGAAGAAGAAGAAGAAGAAGACGACGTCGTTGTTGGCGGAGACGTGGTCGAAGCAGACAGTGACATCAAAGAAGACAATAACACTAACACGCGGAAATTGACTCAGTCGGAACTGGTGTCGAGCTCGCGGGACCGTGACCAGTACCTCAACAATAAGGGGGCTTTGTCGTCGCTGTATGAAGTGTCGTCAACAAAGCGGACTCAAACCGGGGGAGCGACATCTTCCCTGCTTCGCTCCCCCGTTGTTGTCGTCAGTGTGGGTAACAGTGGTGGTGGTGGTGACGACGGTGACTCTGTGTCCGTCGCCGATGACGCGCGCGATCGGTTCCGATGGACTTCGTCGCAAGAGCAGCCAGTGTCGAGCTCAAATGTGGCCCTACCGCGGAACAAGCGCGTGCTCAATGGCGGCGCTTCTTCATTGTCACTTATGTCGTCGTCGTCGTTGTGTAAGCAAGTTCGGGTGAGTGACGATGAAGCTGTAACGCAAGACGGTGCCGTCGATGGGAGTGACGTGAGTGGGGAAGCCGTCGGGCTGCAGGAAGAGCCCGACGATGAGGGCTCCCAGGTCCTGGGTGTGCCTTTTGCGTCCAATGACAGCAATTCCTTGTGTAATGGTCTGTCTTAACTTTTTTTTCTTGTTCGGCGGCGGAAACTTGTGTTCGTTTCCTTCCTTTTTGGTTTCGTTTGGCGTGTATCAGTCATAATTTTGTTGACTTGTTCCGAATAATTTTATTCCTCGCCGTTGTCAAACTCCTCCGGCTTTACGAACATCCCCGTCGGGATTCAAGAGCGGAAAGTATTACAACAAAAGTTGGTTTTTTTCCAAGCAGGGTTTAATCAGCTGTAGTTTTCACATTCTTGAAGACGCTGTTTCCACACAATTCGGGAAAAGTAAAAAGTGATATTCCTCCTAGTTGATTTTCCCCGAAAGGAGTTCGTTTTTGTTCCTATTCGTCGCTGTCGGTGAATTGGATAAGGCTGATTGGGCTACTATTTGCGAGAAGTCGCAAACATCAGCAGCATTTTAATTGCGAGGAATTAAATGCTGTTGATTGAGTATTTTCCGCCCTTGATTCAGGGAACATATCCTGTTTTATTTAATTTATTTGTTCGTTCGGTGATGTTCATTTTTTTGCGATTGGTTGCTCGGAGAAGTTATTTTTTATCACCATGTGGAGAAAAGTGCTCGGAAGATCTGGAGGAAAAAGAAAGTTTCAGTCGTTTCTACGCTTTTTCCCGCAACTGCTCGAAGCTCTCATCAGCGTTTGTTGATCTCTTCATGAAGAAAAGCAGCCAAGCGTGCATTTAAGTTTTCCTGAAAATGTTTCAGAATTTCCTACTTTTTCTTTTCTTGGTTTTTCCCCTGATTAATTGGGATTTTTATTTTATCTCTTGTTACGTTTTTTCGCCGTCTGTCAATGGGCGAGTGTAACCATAAGTACGAAAGAGAATGAAGTGATGACGAGAATGTTTCCGAGGAACAAGAAACAAATTTCGAGGGGTGTCGAGTCCTGGTTGTACTGTTGTTCCGCGTGGCTACTTGAACCCACGCAGTGAGGTTTTTTTTTTCTGCGGGGAATGAAATTTTGCTGACCTGGTTTAATTTTGGCATTTTTGTGAGTATTCTGAATTGCTTCTCCTCGAAGAGAATCAAAGTAATCGTCAACGAATGTGAATTATTTGCCTTTCAGTAAATGCATTATTTATTTAGTAATGAGTTATCTCTTTATATATATTTATATATACTGTATCGATATACTGTACAGTATATCGAATTGGGAGAAATTCCAAGATAAGTATTGTGCAATATTTTGAAAAAAATCACCGCACGTTTTACAAAACAAGGAAAATAAAGTAAAATCAGAAACTGGTGTATTAATGCAAAGCTTTCTGGAACGAAACTACGATTGGATGACGCCTGATCAATTTTGCTCTGGATAAATTAATTTGTTGAATAAAAGCCTCATCTAATTTATCAAGGTTGAAAAAAGTTTCCCTCTCCTTGAGAATCGAATTAATTTTTTTTCTCAGCTTTCCCGAAAGGCAGCTTTTATTATTCAGTGTAAGCTCAGTTACTTGAATTATTCAATAACCATTTGACGGGTTTTCTTCGGAGAGATGTGATTCTTACTTACGTAACACAATTGTTTTTTTCCGGATCAGTTGTGCGAGTATTCATGCTTTTGTTTGGCTTCAGTTAGGGAGTTTTTCAAGTGTCGAGAAAAATGACGCTTCAAGACAAGATTTTACAGCGCAAATTGAATGCGCGTGGCCGCAAGAACTTGGAATTTGTTCGGGCGCAAAAGCTGCAGAAAGTCGCGTCTATGAAAGAGGGTAAAATTTCAGTTGAATTTGCATGAGAAAACTTCAGGTTGTAAAATGTATTGCAACGCCATTTGCAGAGAAACGAGCGAAGCGGCAGAAACCTGAGCCTACAGAAAGAGAAGAACGTGAGTAACTTGGTGATTTCGAAGTAGAGCAGGATCTACTGTGGTAAAATTGTGATAATGTCAATGGTTGATCTGTAATTTGTCTAGCTTTTTTCCTGGTTCAATCGTTTATGACGTGGAAAAGTCATTATTCAGTTAATTTTTCAAAACTTGAACACGCGAAATTTGATCAACGATGGTTGAGAAAGTATTGTGAATCTCCAAATTAGGAAATTTCTGTTCGTGTGCATTCAAATTTCTCGCTGTAACGAACTGAACTTTTCTAGTGGGTCTTTTTGATGGATTGTAATTTATTTTCGTAATTTCATTGAAGGTCCGAAGAAGAAGTTTAAAAAAGATCAACCGCCTGTAGCTTCTGAATCCGAAGAGTCCGAAGATGAAGTTGAAATCAAAAGCGACGATGAGTCCGAAGAAGAACCAGAACAGGAATCGGTTGAAGAAAGCGAAGCAGCAGACAATTGTACGTTCAACTTTCACGAAGTGTTGAGTACATTTTTATTTTTATTTCGAATGATTATTTTTTTCTCCTAGTGCCAGGAACAAGTTCAGGACTCGGTGGGATTTTGTCCGACTCTTCTTTCGAGTCACTCAAAAGCAAAGTATCAGCGTCAACCTTGAAAGCCGTTCAGGAAATGGGATTCACGCACATGACTGAGATTCAGTCTAAGGCAATCCCGCATCTTCTAGAAGGCAGAGATCTTGTCGGAGCTGCGAGAACTGGAAGCGGGAAAACATTGGCTTTTCTCATCCCGGCGATTGAGCTGATTTCCAGGCTAAACTTTGCCGCGAGAAACGGTAATTTTTAATTCTTTTTCTATACAAGAAACTGTATTTTTCTAGATCCGTGATTTGCATACCTCGGAAATCATAATTATATTCACTGAGTTCTCGAAGCATTTATCCTAAGATATATTGCTAAACTCAGAAAATGAAGCATTGGTCTCTTGCTGAAGTATTTGAGACATGAAATTGTAGCGTTTCTCATCGCACGCCTCGTTTTTAGTGCTCTGAATTCATGTGTAAGTTACGGTTTACCCTGATTTCCAAAATTCCTGATTCGAGACATACGATGCAGTGGAATTTCGTTTTAAACGAATAGTAATTGTTTACAACGAATTTGTTTTTTAGGTCCCTGTCTGATAGCCACAGTGTTGGATGAGTTACTTTATAACGAAGCTTTCGTTACAACAAGCTATTTTACTCTTCCGAACGGCTTCGTTGTGACGATGTTCTGGTGTACAGTAGCTGAAAAAATATTTATTGTCGAAAATGCTGCAAGGTTTTTTCTTCTCATTCAGTAGTTTTCACGTCATTTCAGAAATTGTTACTTCTGTATAAATAGCATCATGGTTATTGCTGAATTCTCAATTTTCAATATTGTACTTAGTTCGTAATTTTCTCCCCGCCTCAGCGAGAATGAAGCGATTATTTAAAAGCTATGAGAATTTTTAATTTTGGAATTGGCAGTTATGAAGGTTTCAGTTCATTGTCTGACAGTAATTGAAAATTTTCCCGTTGTGGCGAGGTTTCTCCACGCACGTTATAGGGTGCTAAAAATGTGTCAGGCCAGCTGAAAATTCAATTTCTTTGTTGTTTTACCCATCATCTAAAATGTTGAGAAGATGACGGTTAAAACAATAAGAAAATTTCAACTTATTTTCTATTGGAGGAACTGTACGAAGTCCGTTGGTCGAACGTGAGCGTACCGAGAATGTTCGCAAGCTTATGTGTGTCTGGTCGAATTTTTCAAGTTTCTCACGGATATTTTCTCTCGTATTTTTTTTATAAAGGAACTGGGTGTATAATTGTTTCGCCGACGCGTGAGCTGAGCATGCAAACGTATGGAGTCTTGACTGAGTTGCTGAAGCATCACAACCAGACGCACGGGCTCATAATGGGAGGCGCGAGTCGATCCACGGAGATTGAGAAGCTCACCAAGGGCCTGAACTTCGTCGTTGCGACGCCTGGAAGACTTCTGGATCATCTTCAGAACACGACCACGTTTCTTTTCAAGAACCTCCAGTGTTTGATCATCGACGAAGCCGACAGAATCCTGGACATTGGTTTCGAGGAGGAGATGAAGGCAATTCTGCGGCTGTTGCCGAGTAAGATGGCTGAAGAAAAATTCTTTACACGAGGGTTGTTGATTTGCCCTTGTTGATTTCTAAAGTAGGAATGACTAAAAAGAAAATCATGAAGAAGCTCATGATGTGAGGTTCTGGGTTTTTCATTTTTTTATTTTAAAAGAAATTTTATACTAGTGAATTTTGGAATTGGCAGTTTTGAAGGAGTTGTTGTTCCAACAATCATTTCTTCTACATTTCTGATGATGGTTAAAACAGAAAAATTAAAATTTCAGCTGGCCTTAAATTTGATAGCTCCTTTCTGGCATAGGGGGAAAACTCTGGCCATGCATGGCAAGTTCTTACTCATCATGCAATGAATTGAAAATTGTTTGAAAATCTGAAAAAAAAATCCCAGAACTTGAGAACATCATGGGCTGTATCATGATTTTTTTTTTTTTTTACAGTCATCCTCACTCTAGAAATGACCAAGGTCGCGCGGAAGTGGGACAACTCTCGTTTAAGCGCCCCTTCTTTCTAATTTTAGAAGCTCGAAAAACCAGGAGTTGCTTGAATTCGCGTAGTTATTTAATCTGCGTAAATCAGGAAATTTTCTTCTTCGCTGCTCACAAAACGATTGAGTCCTTGATTTCTTTGGTTCTTTTGGTACTGAAGTTGAAGGTTATCAAGAAATGGTCAGATTTTAGCACTTCTAGTTGCATAAGTCATTGACTGGAGGGAAGACCATGGCTTGTGTGACACCATTTTTATTTTTCTCGTAGAAGTCATGCATTTAATCGGAAATTTTAGGTTTCTGGAAAATCGGAACAGCAGGCAAATCAGTGTGGGTGCGTGTATACACCTATTGATGGAAATTTCAGTTGTGTGGATGAAAAATCGAGGGGGGTGCTTTCATTTTCGCACGTGCGAAATACAGTAAAATCTCGTTACAACGAAGCCATTGGGACCAGTAAAATTGCTTTCTTTTCTAAGAGAGTTCTTAACATTGTGGCTATTGGACATGTACATAAAAATGACTTCATTGTAATCTATTATTCGTGAAAACTACTGTACAGTATTTTATTTTTTCTGAGAGGAGCTTTTGTCCCGTGTTATATTTGCTTTAAGGTGGATTATTGGTTGGTAAACTTTTTGCTCATTTTACTGTATTGTGAATTTGCAGAGAAACGACAGACGATGTTATTTTCCGCGACGCAGACGAAGAAGACCGAGGCTTTGGCTGGGATGGCGTTGAAACGGGAGCCGGTTTACGTAGGAGTGGATGACCAGAAAGCGACTGCGACCGTTGACGGTCTGGAGCAGGGATATGTCGTGTGTCCTTCGGAGAAACGATTCCTCCTGCTTTTCACGTTTCTCAAGAAGAACAGGAAGAAGAAGGTCATGGTGTTCTTCTCCTCCTGTTTGTCTGTCAAGTATCATCAGGAATTGTTCAACTACATCGACTTGCCTGTCATGAGCATTCATGTAAGCATGTTCATGCCTTTTTTTTCTTGTTTATGGGGAAATTGATAATTTTCAGTCAAAATTTTTTCTGTGTGTTCCATGGAAGCTCGGGGAAATTTTTTTTTCTTGTGGTGTATTTCAGGATTTTTCCCGTCGAGTGAACACTGCTTGTTCTTTATTGAAACCACAGTAGTTTGAAGGATTCTGTATCATTATTGTGCCAGAAGTTCATTTTATCGCTGAACTGTAAGAGATATGCAAACAATTTTACTTCGGGTCTTTTCTAGTGAAGGAGAGCTGCATTTTTGCTGGGGGAAAATTAAGATTTACGGGGGAAAATAAGTAATATTCTGGACCTTGAACTACTGGATAAAATGATTTGACAGGATGTTAAACTTGGAGGCAAGGTTACATTTCCCCAATGATTTACCCACTTCCTTCTGAAAATCATCAGGTTATATGTTCATTTCTATTTTTCTATGTGGAACCCAATAATAATAGCTCATAGGTCTCCACAAATCTGAGGGATGGTCTTTAACCTTTTTTTCCGTAAATTATGTATACGACATACTTCTTCAGGGAAGGCAGACAGATTCCTAACAAAATTTTGACATGAGGGAAGTTCTTAATTTGGAAAGGGTTTGAGTTATTGAGGTCAACTGGTGGTACCTAATTCGCAAAATTGCTGAATCAGCCAGCAGATGCTGCCCTCTGTCGCATTTTCATTTTTTTTTATAAGTTTCAGGAAATTCATTCGACTTCTTGTTTCGATTTCCAGGGGAAACAGAAGCAAACTAAGCGAACAACCACGTTTTTCCAGTTCTGCAACGCAGAGACCGGGATTCTGTTATGCACAGATGTCGCTGCCAGAGGACTTGACATTCCAGCTGTTGACTGGATTGTTCAGTTCGATCCTCCGGATGATCCCAAGGTTGATGACTGGAGTATCCCTTGACTATTTATTGAATTACTCTCTTTTTGATTGAATTATGAGTTTTCACTGGCTCGGTGTTTTCTCTGCAGGAATACATTCATCGTGTTGGACGAACGGCCCGTGGGGAAGGTGGGAAAGGAAATGCCTTGTTGATCCTGCGTCCGGAAGAAGTTGGTTTTCTCATGTACTTGAAACAAGCCAAGGTCCCGTTGAATGAGTTCGAGTTTTCCTGGGCAAAAATTGCCGACATTCAAGCACAGGTTTTTCATCTCGTAATTCTTTTATCAGGATTCGTTTTCCTTCAAAATTTATTCTCTTGGATTCTAGTTAGAGAAGCTGATTTCGAAGAATTATTTCCTGCACATGTCCGCGAAGGAAGCCATGAAGGCCTATGTAAGAGCCTACGAATCGCATCACCTGAAGAAGATTTTTGACGTCAACACGCTGGATTTGAAAGAAGTCGCCAAGAGTTTTGGATTCTCTGTGCCTCCTCACATTGATTTGAGTAAGTTGACTGATCATTCACCTTGGAACGAACGTTTCTGCTCAACGCTAACTTTTTGCATGCAGTACTGAAGTTGTAGCGGCAGTCATTGTTATTCGATGAAATACTAACCGCGAATGTTTTATTCATTCGGGAAGTATTGTATAGTATTTGAATTATTATCTTTTCTTTTGAAGATGTTCACACAATGAGAAGACCGCAGAAACGAGGCGGAGGAGGTGGAATATCCAATTTCAATGAGAAGAAACAGCTTGCGAAGGCGAAAATTTACAAAGACCCTAAGAAATTCCGGAAAGACAGTCGGCAGTTTACAAGATGATCTTGTTGCTATTTGCACAGTTTCTTTCTGCGGCTGGAATTACAGTTGAGGAAGCGTTGCTGGGTCTGCATTCATTCTCACCATAGAATCTGATTTATCAACAACTGCACAGCTATTATTTTCTACTGTTCTTCCGCATATAAATTAAAGGCCCAGAATATCACTGATTAGGAGTTAGTTAGTTTTCCTGATCCCCTGAATTTATATGACAGTACATGATTTCAGAATGTATTATCCCTTGAGCTACAAGTAACCTTGCTTGAAAATTGACACCGCAGAAGCAAGTTTTGTTCGTTCAGAATTTGCGGGTGGAAGTTTTATTATAGCCATTTTCAACACTTGGAAACATCAGTCGTACATTCAAACAAAGGAATGTAACATTGCACTTCATGGATCATCTTAGCCGGACAGGACGCCGGGCTCCTTTCACTCCTATACATCCCACACTTCCCATGCACAAAACGGATTTCTGCACAGAGATTTATTCAGCTCCTATTTAGACACGTAGATGTGACAATATGACTAGCAAATGTCTGCAAACTTAAGTAAGAAGATGCTGCTCCCAAACTAATTGTCCTTCTTCATTCGTGGGTTTGTCATCCTGTAGATGATAGAGTCCCAGCCAGGATCCATCGACCCAATTCCAACTTTAAAAAATAGAAAAAACACGATGAAGATAAATGCACTAATAAACTGTCCAAATATTCTGAAACTACAGTTGTACCAAAAATTTAAAATTCAAGCACAAAATCCTCTTCATTCGTAAACCCCCTATTCTTTCGAAAACAAGTATGTTCTGCATTTACGTGAATCACACGTGTATCTCTTTTCAAATAAAATTGCGCATAACATGATGTGTGAGTTATAGTAGGGTATACAATTGCAAGTGACATTGAAAAAAAATTTCTCCACACTTAAATTTTTTTTCTAGGTAATCTACTTTAATGATACTATCATTTTTATGGAAAAATGCCATTGGATTTGATTTTTTACATGGGCTTCTCAATTTAGATTTTTACTCAGCAGTTTGTCAAATAGGAACTTCGATAACTGATAACCAATGTGTGCGTCTCATGCACACCATGGTCAAGGTACAACAGAAGTACTATACTGCACCTTAGTTTGAAGGTATAGTGAAGTACTGTACTTCTGCAATCAATTTTCAGTAATGAGCACATTTTCCTGTTCTAGCTGCTCTACGGTTCAAGGACATACAGATCACAATTTTTTCAAATCACATCTTTCATAAAATGTTCGTCAACTAATGGGGTCTAAGCTTTCACACCCCGTAACTCACAATTGTTTTTCTCGTAATTCTCTGTTGTAAGAAGGAAATATTGAGTACGAAATACTAGTTAGAGCAGTACACTCATAATCCTCTACATATGGAACAAACACCATCATTTTGAGTCTTATGCATAGATTAGCAAAACCAGCAAAATGGAACTCACTGCAAACTGCGAGAGTGATGAGGAACAACGCAAGTGAAAGCCAGAGCACCAGATTAAAAGGTACAACATAATCCATGTCATCAGCTGCAGTTGCTCCAGGCTCAGCTTGACGCTTGCTTCTGGTCTTCTGTGACGGAGTGTAACAAACAGCGAGAACAGAGGCATCTGAATCGTCCGCAATTTTCGCCAACACTGTGCCAATGAGTCGACGAGCTTCAGCGACGTCTTCCTTCCGACCAACAGCATCCAGGGAATCAAATTCGAAAACTAAGGCCTTTGCAGGTGTGATGGAGTTTTCAAGAATGCTTGGCAGCTCGTTGAGGGCACTCAGTTCGTCCATGAAGTGTGACACTGGAGCCAGGGATGAGTTCAAGGAATTCGCCGGAACTTGGAACTTTTGTGTAATCGGAACCGAGGTCTAAGTAGGGGGAAAACAAAGAAGAAATATTGTCTATATTTGGTCGATTGAACAACGGGACTGGCGGAAAATCCGATCTATTTTAATTCACCAGAAGAATCCCAACGCTTCCGATTTCATGAAACACGCAACTCACACGTGAGAACACACGTGAATCTGCAATTCGTCTACTTCGACATAAATTCTACTGACAAATATTATCACGCTTACACGGATTTAGTGCAATTTTTATATTTCGACAAAAAGCATCGGAAAATTAAGGAATTGCAATTGTGATGTGCGTTGCGGTAATGTTAAAATATTTTCAGGCAGATTAATGTTCACGAATTCAGGAGTGTAACAAGGAAATGTATCTTGCCATAGTACTTTCGACGGACGTGAAAGGAATAACTTTTGGATAGATTCCATGCATACGGATAGGTAGTGTTGAATCGACGAATGAGTCAATTTTGGCAGGAGCATGGGAAAAGATTAACTTTTCACGGCAACTTACTTGGTCAACAACGGAAATCCCTGCTTAGCCTGGTTTTTGCCATCTGTCACCTACTAGGTTGCACATTTAGTTCCATAGGCCCAACTTTCGTCTCCACTCACCTTAGAAGAACAACGGTCCCTTGTGCATGACTAGAAATAGCCGCCAACTTACCGGAACTGCAACCACTATCACCCTCTTGGTGGACGAAAACGGATTCTTCTGCAGAAGACCCGGCCATGTGCAATCCTGAAAATTTGACAATTTCATCGGTCTATCATCAAGATAAAACAAGATTTGTGCTATGATACTCACGGAGGTTTCGGTAATGCCAAACATGCGGAAGAGAACAGATGAAACATCATTCTGCTTCATTGGTATAGTGGAGTCGAAAACGAAGCCTTGCGGGGCTTTAACAACCCAGACATCACCGCACATCACACATTGCACAAAAATAATGCAAACGAACGCGTACACTGACAACCGAATCATTCTCGATGACAATTTTGCTTCTCTGCAACAAACAGAAGAAAATTCAGAACTCCTTCCTTTTGAGAGATGTGGTTTCTTGTCTCGATGACATGAGCGTTGCTGGTCCGTTTTCCTCTCGTTGACTTTGTTCGCTCAACTTTACTACGTTCTCCCTTTTCTAGTACACTACAGGGTCTTACGTGCACCCCCTTAGAGTTATGCATCATGAGCAGATGCAAATCTGACCAGGACCTTCACCCACAACTGAAATGCCAGATGATGAACACGGTACAAATTTTATTCGACAAATACAATACCACAGTTGCATTTCACTTGAATCGTTCATTGCTGAACATTCATATTTAAAGCATGAGTCGGATATACAGATACCGTAATCATCATCACAAATCTCTTCCGGTCGACACCACTGCCATTAAGCACACAAGGCTCAATCTTGTATGAAGTCATCAGTCAGTGGATCTTTTCTGGATTGGATGGAGTACACTACAGTACAGTACTGTTAACAAATACTAATTCTTCGTACTTCACACCGTATTCGATTCCTGTTGTGTGAACAGTAGTCATGTTACAAAAATCCTTGTTCCACTTTTTATGATGTACTGTATATTACTGTACTGTACTGAAATCATAAAATGCTTCACGGTAAAATACTGGGTACTAACTTTACTCCATCCGTGCTTATTTACTCAGCAGTTCACATCAACCAATCTGATATCCGGAATGTGGTTCGGGCAAAACCAGCTAGGTGTCACTGTTTGCTTGATAAATTTTGCGTATCAGAGGACAACATAGTACTGTACGTGGAAATTCAATCATGATTGTGGGTCCATAATCATGAAAATACATTCAACTTGAAAAATATTGAAAACTTTCAAACCACGTTATTTTCCACCCATTAAAAAATCCAGTTTTATTATCTTTGAATATTTACGGGGTATACTGTAACGTCATTTTCTGTCGCGGTCGCGTTTTGGAACAACGATGAGATGGAAGTGTGAAAGCTCAAATATACGGTTCTGAAAACTTAACCTTTTACTACATTCCAATGTTTCTTTGAATAACTGGTACGGTAAAAAGAATATACTGTATTGCAGGGTACGGTAAAGTTCCCGTGAAATACAGCGTACGGTATTAAATGCATTAAGCTCTTATATAGCGACTGCTAGAGAGTTTTTGACAATCACCTCATTTCAGCACGTATCAATGAAAGATTAAGGCGCAATTCATTCCATCATCCATCAATTCCAAGATTTAAAAGAAAGCAAAAATTGATCAATCAAAAATAAGCAACACGCATCGCGTCTATATCTGCTGGATAAACTCACCACGAAGCTCCAGGGAGAAAAATCGCTTCTCAAGAAATTAGCAAGAAAAAAAAAATTGAAAGGGAATAAATTGCAAAAATTTAATTTCCAGCCCAGAATAAATTATTCTGAGAATAAATACAAGTCTCCCGGCTTTCTTTTTATCATCCTATATCATTTTCAGTTCTTGGAACACATTTTATGCATATTTGCGCATTCGGATGCAGGGAAAATCTGCACTGAGAAGAAATTCAGACTGTTGGCTACGGACAGTTGTCAAGAGATATAAAGTTTTATAAAATCATTCACAAAGTGAGTATCTCCTGTCACAGAAAAATTCTGATAAACTTGGCTTTCATTTTAATTGTATCCAGATTGTAATTTGGCAATAATTCTGGCAATGTCAGATCATTTCGAAGATACAGGTTTGGGGCATTTTCAAAAATCAGTGTTTTATTGGACAGAAAAAGAGCCATTACTGGTAACTATAGAACGGATAATTTAAATTCGAGCTGTGCATTTATTCAAATTATAAATGAATTACCGTGCCTTATTTTAAAAAAGAAATAAAACCCTCCCCATTTTTTCCCTCTCATCAGATCGATGCAATATGAAGCAACGAAAGTCGGCGACAAGAAAATGTCAAAATCACAACTTGACAAATTCTTGCAGCAGATTTTTGTGTTTACTTCTTCAATTTGCGACTGTGATTCAATTTCAAGGAAATGAAGTATCTTCTCTCAGGACCTTCCCTCCTCCGACATCCGGGGAAAATATTCTGCAAAAATATCAGAAATACGCTGACAAAGGTCAGTTAACATTTATTTTAAAAGGGTGTTTTCGACATTTTTAAAATTTGCGTTACTGTCTTTATTTCACTCTTCTTGCAAACAAAAAAAAGCTGCCCAAAAAGGAGTCTGAACTTACAACTTGAGTAATTTTTTTAGTGCACCACCTTAAGACAACTTTGTTTCAAGATTTTTACGTAGTTTTGTTCAAAAGATATACTTTTTAAGAGCCTCCAGGGGGGGGCCCCTGAAATTAAAGATTAATTTACTCAAAATCAAAAATGTCACAGGAACACTATTAAACGAACAATTTTCCAATCAGGTCATTTAAAAACATGCCTCTCCGAAAGGAAATATTTTCTGTAGTAAACATTTTCCAACAGACATTTTACTCGAAATCAAGACCAAAATTCTCAAATTTGGAGAAATCCAAAGGAAATACCGTACTTCATGCAATTCTCAAAAAATAATTTGTGTTTATCATTGAACTCTGAAAATGTCTCGTAAAATATTTTGAAAACTATATCCATGGAGATTCTTCGAGGACCTGTAAAACATTTATTCATAAAAAAAATCTTGAAAATAATTTCAGATGAATTCCACCTCCTGCAAAATGTAACGTGTTTCTCAAATCAAAGAAAAACAATTTCTGAAAAAAACTGTTCCGGCCAAATCAGAAAATTATTGATCAAAAATGAAGCGCTACTGCAGAAAAAAAAATTGACTAAATGTTCTTTTAGTGGCAATTTGCGATTATCTTCTCAGAAAAATCTAGGATTTTTTCGTCCACTACTTTCCATCGAATTTCGTTATATTGAGGAATTCGTCATAATGACATTTAAAAAAATATGTATCCCGTAAAAAGCCGGGAACTCTTGGGCGAAAAGAGATATTTGCCCATCGAGTCACGAAGACGACGGAACCCGGATTTGCCCAGCGGAAACCCAGCAGGAATTGGTGGATTTCTCCTCAGCTGTTGGGAAGATGTCGGAGGATTTCAGTCATATGAAGTATGAAATTGGCAAGGGGATGGAATCCAGACGGAAACGAGTTCGACGACAAGATCAAGTTTTCAGTGGAAATCTGAAGTTGGATGGTAAGTTCATAATAATCCTCATTTGTACTATGCATAATTCCAGGGCAATTCTATAAATTGATTCATACATGAAATTATGATTTAAAAACCTCTTCTCTAGAGTTGTAGAAAAACTTTTGCTAATATTTCCCTCCATTTTAAGCAGAAATGGAGAGTTTCTGTACTTGACAATTTTAGCAGGCAAAAAATGTGGAATTGATTCCTCATGAGGAAACATGACATGGGATTGCTTCATGGCTTTTTTTTTCTTCTGCAAAAATTGTCCTAAAGGAAATGCTAGAGTTATTCAGGAAATTTCTGCATTTCCCTAAAAATTCAATTTTGGTTAAATTGATTCTTGATGAATAAGAAAAGTTGAATCTCCTTCTGACACTTGCATGAACTGGCTCCCTGTGACTCTTCTAATTCTGGTAAGTAAGATAATGTAAATCAAAATTTAAACCTAAAAATGTTCCACATTAATTCAATTGATTTATTTTTAGGAGAATTTTTCACTATTTATCTTTAAAATCTTGAGATCTATGGATCTTTCTTGCAAATTTTCATTCCATTTTCTTCATTAGAAATCTGAATGCACTGTATACTGATCACTTTGCTGCTGATCACAACAGCTTTGAAAAAGTTTACTCAAAATACAATTCAAATTACTCTAAAATCAATCAAGAAATCTGAAACACATTTTTATGAAGTGGAGATAATTTTCTATTTGGCTTGAGAATGGTCTGGTATGTCAAAAAATCAAGTTAGGGTTTAGAGAAATTAATTTATCATTAAAAAAGGGCATTTTTATTTTTTATTGCATCAAACTCTCTCAAATTTACTTCAGGATCCCCAAAGAACTTTGTTGAGACATAATTTTTGTTCTAACTGAAATTCATGCCGAAAGGTTGCATACATTTTTGTTCACTTTTATTTTTCAAGTTCCCATGAAGATTTTGCTGGATGCTTTGCGAATGCATGGCTTCCACCCAAAGACAAGGAAGCAACAAGATTACTTATTGCCAATGGAAAACAGAGATTTAAAAAGCAAGAAGCACCAACCAAAAATTTTTATACTCACTGGCTTACAGAGGAATAATCACTCCCAGGAGCAAAATGATCCCATTCAGACCCTCAGACCTTTGGCAACTGAATTCAAGATTGACACAAACAAGGAACACCAAACAAATGAGAATGAGGGGTCACACACTACAACTGCAGTACCACAGGATGCAAAAACTGAAATGCACACTGAGCCATCATTGTCAGGCATCATGCAGGCATGGTGTGAGTACAGTATATCAAAATTGTCAAGCCCTAGAGTGGAAATTTACACCATAAGGCAAT